AGGGTAAGTTCCGTCGATGTCCGTCAGCATAGCGGCTGGCAACGGTGTTAGCCTTCCGAATAAATTCCGTTGCTTTGTTGCGAGCTGCTTGAAGTTCTGAAACGAATTGCTGCGACCGTGGGTACCGGATTGTCGGGTGTCGTTGAAGAGGGTACCACGGGGTCTATCCCGTAATTGAGGTAGAACGGCGATTGATTAGTCATCGCAGACGGTGCGTTGTTGTACGCAAACTCGAGCATGGGGAGTGAATCCTCCCACTTGGTGATGTTTGGGCAGTTTGTGCGAATCAACTGTTCCATCGTCTGTATGTTTGGGCAGTTTGTGCGAATCAACTGTGCCATCATCAGCTTGTGCCAGCTGGCAGCCCGGCGACGTAGTCCATTGTCACATGTTGCCACGGTCGTTCGGGTGGCTCGAGAGGTTGCAGCAATCCAGCTGGTCGTTGGCGTGATGACTTCATTGCCTGACAGGTCGGGCAGGCGGACACGTAGTGCTGCACGTCCGAGGCCATGTCGGGCCAGTAGTAATTCCGCTGCAGCAGCTTTAATGTTTTGTCGACGCCGAAATGCCCGAAAAGGTTGGAGTCGTGTACTTCCTGCGTCAGCAATTCTCGTAAGGGTCGGTAGGAAGGTACCCAAACTCGGTTTTGTACCGACTTTTAGGTAATAGCTCCCCATGCGCCGTGGTGACCTATTGGTGTTGGTTGGTCCTGAAAAACCTGTCAGTCCTGCCAAAAAAGGGTTAGAATGGGCGATTAGTACTGCTCCGGTTTGCATTGATGGGCGGGTCAGGGCGTCGGCGATGTTGTTGGCGCCCTTTTTGTACGTGATGGTGTAGCTGAAGTTGGACTCGAGGTAGTCGAGCCACCGGATTTGTCGCGGGTTGAGTTGTGGTTGGCTGCGCATGTAGTGTAATGACTTGTGGTCTGTCCTGATCGTGACATCGGCTCCCGTGAGGTAACAGCGCCAGGTACGAAACGCATGCACGATGGCGAGCATTTCCTTGTCGTGTACAGGGTAGTTGCGCTCGGGCGGCTGCATTTTTCTTGACTCGTACGCGATGGGTTGAAGCCCGTTTCCGAAATCCTGTAGGAGGACGGCGCCGACAGCGAAATCGCTGGCGTCCGTCACGACTTCGAACGGTCGAGATGGATCTGCCAGCCGAAGCACCGGGGGTGAACTCAAAAATTTCTTCAGCTCTTTGAAGGCCAGCTGCTCTCTCTCCCCCCAACAAAATTGTACGCCCTTGTACAGAAGATCGGTTAACGGCCTGGTTACTCCCGCCATATTCGGTACAAAACGGCGGACATAGTTAACGAAGCCGAGGAAACTTTGCAACTCCGTGATGTTCGTGGGCGGTTTCCACTCCGAAATCGCTGTTACTTTGCCAGGGTCAATTTTAATGCCCTCCCCTGAGACCACGTGCCCCTGGAAATCCAGCTCCGGCTGTAAGAACTCACACTTAGAGCCCTTAGTAATCAGTCGGTTCTGCTGCAAGCGCCGGAACACCTCCTCTAAGTCCTGTAAATGCTGCTCCCGAGTCTTGCTGTACACCAGGATGTCGTCCAGGTAAACGATTACTTTTTTATCCAGCATGTCCTGAAACACCCCATTCATGGTGAGCTGGAAGGTCGAGGGTGCGCTCGTCAACCCAAACGGCATCACAGTATATTCGTAACTGCCGTAGCGGGTGCGGAACGCAGTCTTCGGGCAGTCGTCGGCGAACACGCGAATTTGGTGGTAGCCACCTCGCAAATCGATTTTCGAGAAGAAGCGAGCCCCGCGAAGCTGATCCAGCAGGTCGTCCGCTCGCGGAATCGGGTAACGCGACTTAATAGTGACCCGATTCAACGCTCGATAGTCGATGCACATGCGCAGGCCTCTGTCCTTCTTCGGCGTGAACAGTATCGGGGCGGCGTATGGTGACGTGCTCGGTCGGATAAAACCCTTCGAAAGCAGATAATCCAGCTGTTTCCGCAACTCGTCGAGCTCCGGTTGGCTGAGCCGCCACTGTGATCGAACAGTTGGTTTTGCGCCTGGCTCCAGCTCAATCCTGTGGTCTTCTGGTCGCTGAGGTGGCAGCCCGTCAGGCAGGTCATCCGCAAAAATTCCGGGATACCTCCGAATTATGCTCGCCACATCGTCTGGTACAGCAGCGCAGAGCGTGTCAATGTCGGCGATGTTTTTAGACGCCACCACCTCGTACAGCTGTACGGCGTAGCCCTGCGCTCCTCGCTTGATCACCCTTTTCATCGTTATCGCGTTGACACGTGTTGTCATCGGCTCCGGCTCCGCCCATTTCGGAAGTGTCACGCGCCCCTTGTTGCACAGCACCGTGATCGCCCCCGTCGTCCAGTCGATCGTCGGATTAAATTGCTGCAGCCAATCTCGTCCCAGTAGCACATCGCAACCGTCAAGTGTTGTCGCCAGCATTCGCATTGAAAACCCGAAATCGTCGCCACACTTCATCCGAATTTGTCGGACCTCGTCCTTGATTGCCAGCGGTGTCCCGTCCACCAGTCGCGCATCAATCTCGGGCAGACACCTGTCCAGCTTGACTCCAATTTTTTTGGCCGTTGCCAGGTTGACGAGACTGTGGCTCGCCCCTCCGTCAACGAAAAGTTTAATTTTGTGTCCGTTAACCCCCCCCACGATCAGCACAGGGTGATCCACGTGTTCATCCACCTTATTCGTCCGGTTGCGGTCGATAGCCCGTATCGGTACCACTACTCGGTGTGGATGTTGATTGGCGGGCGACGGGGTCTCGTAAGTAGGTGGCCCGACTGCTACAGACTCGTCTCTTTTCCCGACCCCTCTCCGTCGTTCCTGTTTCAGCTTCGGGCAGTCCTTCCTCCAGTGGCCCGGTTGGTTGCAGTTGAAGCACGTGTTATGTCCACGTCTCGGTGCATCCACCCCGTTGATTGTGGGCTGGCGCGGCGGCCCACGAAATTGAGTGTCCTCCCGGGAACTCATTCTCGCCCATTGCATCAGCGCATCCGTCGATTCGGCCACCTGGACGGCATCGAGGAAGTCGCGTGGCCTCGCCCGTCGCACCTCGTACTGTACTTCGTACTTGAGGCCTGCGACGTATTGGTCGAGTCGCTCCGCGTCACTCATGTCTTCCACCTGGTCGGCCAAATTGCAGAATGTCGCCGTGTAATCTTGGACCGACGCCACCTGCTTCCAGGTACGCAGCTTCATGCGAGCAGAATCCGAGGCGGATACATGCTCGAATCTGGCTCGCAGCGCGGCGCCCCACTCCGTCCATGTGCGTATCGTGGCCACTCCGAAGATTGAAGTTGCTCGTTGCGTGACAGTTGTCCAGGTCCCGTCGTTCGCACGTGACAGCCCTGCCGGAGTCCCCTCTGTCTGAAGAGTCCGCTTCCACCACTCCAACGCCGGTCCTCGTAACAGTGACACTGCAAAATTAATGCGAGTAGCATCGTCAGCAAGCTGTTGCTGCGGTTGTGGCTATTGCTCCTGCGTCCCTTGTGCTTGTTGCTGGCGTGCCGCCCACTCATCTTCAGCATCCAGCGAGCCCTGTAGCTCGCTGAAGACGTCGTTGTTGGGTGTGGAGCTGCTACTTGCTTCATCCACGGCGGGCGAATCCTGACGCGCTTCACTTCACGTCTGGCGTAGCTCGTCGTTTTCCACCTTCAGGCGCTCCATCTCTGCAGACATGGTCTGCAAGTTGGCTTGCATCGCCCGAAACTGTTGCATGAACTCGTTGAACTCAGCCTGTTCCATGTTTCTCAGGCTTCTCCTAGCGGGCAGCGGGTTACCAGCGATTTTTATGGTTTTGATGAAGGCGCAAACGCTATAGTCGGAGCGAGATAATCGTATCTATCTCTCAGCCGACCGCTTTGCAGCCCACCAAACCTATCGCACCCCTGCACTAAACTACCCCGGAAAGTAGAGGGTAACCTAGGAAAGTAGCTCTGATACCAAGTGTTATGAGTTGTATGAAAGAAGAGTGCGCAGTATTTAATAACGCGGAAGTGATTACAACTACTGAGCAAACAACGAGGCCTAGGCATAATATAGCAATGTCAGACATATATGACTTAGTCTGTGTAGGCTATAGTGGGGTAGACACTAAGGGGTACAAGTTTCTAGGGTTTCATATTTGTACTCAACACTTTCCTAGTTCATTTCATTCCTCATTTCTTCACATGGTATAGAGCGGGTTCCCTAGTGGGACCGTTTCTCCCTTGGGCCCACCTTCGAAATTTTTTTTTTAGCCTGCCCTAAACGCGCTTCGCGTCCTGCCCTATAATTTCGCGGCCCCTTAGTGGCCTGCCCTTTAACGGCCCCTTAGTGGCCCCTTCGCGGCCCCCCTTAGCGGCCCCCCCTTCGCGGCCCCTTCGTGGTCCCGGTCGCGACCCCTTAGCGGCCCCTCGCGGCCCCTCTTAAGGCCCTTCGCGGCCCCCCTCACGGCCCTTCGCGGCCCCTTCGCGGCCCTTCGCGGCCCCCTCACGGCCCTTCGCGGCCCCTTCGCGGCCCTTCGTGGCCCTTCGCGGCCCCCTTCGCGGCCTCTACGCGGCCCCTCCGCGGCTCTTCGCGGCCCGCCGTAGCCGCCCTGCCGCCCCGTCGCTGCCGCCCCAGCAGCAGCTGCCGTCGCGCCTGCTTGCCGCTGCCGCTTCCGCCACGGCCGTTCGCCGCCGCCGCTGCTGCCGGGACAGCCGCCGCCGCAGCTGTCGTCACAGCCGCCGCCGCTCCTGCCGTGACAGCTGCCGCCGCTGCTGCTGAGACACCCGCCGCCGCCATTGCCGTGACAGCCGCCGCCGCCGTCCCGGCCCTGCCCTGCAGCCGAGTCGCGGCCCTGCCCTGCCGCCCTGTCGCGGCCCTGATCCTGCCGACTCACCTCGGCCCTGCCCCACCACTTGCGGGCTTCTACCCACCCGCCCCTGGTAAGCGCACCGCCGAGCCGCGCCCCTCCTGCTGCTGCTACTGCTAGCCTGCTTCTGCTGCTGCTGCTGCTAGCCTGCTGCTGCTGCTGTCATGGCTAGTCCCAACGTTCTTACCTTTGATGCTGAGGGTCGAGCGGTAGACTTTGAGGTCTGGATAGATGATCTGCAGCTTTTCCTGCAGTGCGATAGCAAAGACGGCCTCTCACTGTTTGATCTCACGTCTGGTGCCTCTGCTGCCCCTGCTGCTAATGCTGCTAGTACTGTTCGCTCGGTCTGGACCACGCGCGATGCTGCTGCTCGCCTTGCTGTGCATAGTCACCTGCCGTCCTCTGAACGCGCGCACTTTAGTCAGTACAAGAGTGCTAAGACCTTGTACGACGCTGTTGTTGCACGCTACTCCTCCCCTGCCACTGCTGCCCTTAGCCGCCTCATGCTGCCGTACCTGTTCCCTGACCTAGCCGCCTTTGCCACAGTCGCTGACCTCATTACTCACCTCCGCACTAGTGACACTCGCTACCGCGCTGCGCTTCCTGCCGAGTTCTGCGCCAAAACCCCCCCCCCCCCATGTACATCACCCTCTACTACCTCATCACCCGGCTCTCTGACTCCCTTTGCTCGGTCAGGGACCACTTCCTCTCCCTCTGCCCCACCACGCTCACCGTTGACCTCCTTGAGGAGCGCTCTCCTTGCAGCTGAGAAGAGTATAGTCGCTGTAGGGGCCTCTCGTGGTGACCCTCACGCCCTTTCTTTGAGTGGTGCCCCCCCTCTCCCCTCTTGCCCTCTGTTGCCTCTGCTGCTGCTGTCGACCTCGTTGGCACCGAGTCGGTCGGCGCTGCGTCTGCTCCTAGTGGGAGGCGCCGCAACAGCAAGGGCAAGGGGGGCAAGGGGGGTGGAGGGGGCGGCGGGGGCGGAGGTGATGGTGGTGGAGGAGGCGGAGGGGGTGGGGGTGGAGGTGGAGGTGGGAGTGGTGGCTCGGGTGGGGGCTTCGGTGGCGACGGTGGAGGTGGAGGTGGCGGAGGCAGCGGGAGTGGGGGTGGAGGTGGCGGCGGCGGAGGCGGAGGCGGGGGTGGCGGCGGGCAGCGGGGAGGCTCTAGCGGTGACCAGCGCCAGCAGCAGCAGCGCTCCCGTGAGACCCCGTCGCCTCAGCAGCTCCGTGAGTGGTACGCTGGGCGTGGGAGGTCTGGGGGTGCTGGTCCCTGCGCTTACGTTCTTCGCACCGGCGACCGCAGTGGAGAGACGTACGGCGGCCCGCACACCACACCCCGCTGCTTCGGCCGCCTGACTGACGCTTGGCGTGCACAGTTCCCTGGCTCCACTGAGATCCCTCGCTGGGGTGATCTGCTTAGGTCGGGGGTTGCTATCTTTGATCTTGACTATGACACTATCCTTGCTGCTATGTATGCTGTGTCTATTAGTGCTGAGGGTGACTGTTACCTGTGTGTTCCGCCCGACCCGGGAATTGAGGCTGCTGCTCTAGGTGCTAGTGAGTCTGCTGCTCCAGGTGCTGGTGAGGCTGCTGCTCTAGGTGCTAGTGAGTCTGCTGCTCCAGGTGCTGGTGAGGCTGCTCTCTCAGGTTACCGCGTCGGCTCAGGTCTTCCACACTTTCACCCTTGACTCGGGTGCCTCCCGCTTCTTCTTTCGCGACTGCACCACCCTCTCGCCGCTCAGTCGGCCAGTGGCAGTCTCTCTGGCTGACCCCTCTGGGGGACCAGTTGTGGCCCGTTCCTCCACTGTCCTCCCGTGCCCTGCTGTTCCGTCCGGCTCGCTGACTGGTCTTCACCTTCCCTCGTTCTCTACGAACTTGGTGGCGGGTGCTGATCTTCAGGATGGGGGTGTTCACCAGTTCACCCCTGCCCACCAGCGTGTGACGCACTGCACGTGTGCTGGGACGGGTCGTCACCTGGCCACGTTCACCCGTAGGCCAGGGTCCAGCCTGTACACCCTCACCACTGCGTCTCCTCCTCGTCAGCTAGCCGCGTCGGGTCAGGTGTTTGCTGCAGCGTCCCGGTCTGGCCCTGAGTCTGCCCCCTGCTCGTGTCGCCTCCTGGCCCACGAGACTCTTCTTTGGCACCACCGCCTTGGTCACCCCTCCCTGCCTCGTCTTCGAGGCATGGCCTCCCGTGTCCTGGTCTCGGGTCTTCCTGAGTCCCTCCCTCCCCTTCCTCCGGGGCCTGCCCCTACCTGCGTTCCCTGCGTCGAGGGTCGGCAGGGCGCCGCTCCCTCACTCCTCCGAGTTTCCTCCGACAGAGGCCCCACTGCAGACTCTTCACATGGACGTGTGGGGCCCAGCCCGCGTCCGTGGACAGGGTCACGAGCGTTACTTCCTGCTGGTCGTTGACGACTACTCGCGTTACACCACAGTCTTCCCCTTGCGCCGCAAGGGTGAGGTCACTGAGGTGTTGATCGACTGGATCCGCGCTGCTCGTCTCCAGCTCAGGAAGAGCTTCGGCTCAGACTTTCCTGTTGTGCGTCTGCACTCCGACAGAGGTGGTGAGTTTTCCTCTGACCTTCTGCGGGCCTTCTGTCGGGCGGAGGGCATCTGCCAGACGTTCCCGCTCCCGGCCTCTCCACAGCAAAATGGGATTGCTGAGCGCCGCATTGGCATGGTCATGGATGTCGCTCGCACGTCCATGATCCATGCGGCTGCTCCCCACTTTCTGTGGCCGTTCGCGGTTCAGTACGCGGCGCATCAGATCAACCTCTAGCCCCGGGTCTCCATGCCTTAGACCACCCCCACTCTGCGGTGGACGGGGAAGGTTGGCGATGCGTCTGTGTTCCGTGTCTGGGGATCTCGAGCTTTCGTCCGCGACTTGTCTGCGGACAAGCTGTCCTCTCGTGCTGTTCCCTGCGCCTTCCTTGGCTTCCCCCCCTGACGCGCCTGGTTGGCAGTTCTACCACCCCACCTTGCGCCGTGTTCTGTCCTCTCAGGACGTCACGTTTGACGAGTCGGTTCCCTACTACTGTCTCTTCCCCTACCGCACTGCCCCCCTCCCCCCCCTGCCGCTCTTCCTCACGCCAGGTCCTCCCCAGGTAGACCCCCTCCCCCCTCAGGGTCCTGCCCCCTCAGGTGTGTCTCAGGTAGACGCAGTCGAGCCTGTCGAGGTAGCTGTTGACTCTGGTGCTGCTAGGGGTGCTGAGCCTGCGGGTGCTGGGTCTGGGGGTGCTGAGCCGGCGGGGTGCTGGGTCTGGGGGTGCTGAGCCTGAGCGTGCGGAGCCTGGGGGTGCGGAGCCTGGGGGTGCTGAGCCTGGGGGTGCTGAGCCTGGGGTTGCTGAGTCTGGGGGTGCTGAGACTGGAGGTCCTCCGAGTGTCTTGTTGCGGCGGGAGCCCCTCTCTCCACGGCAGCTTCGTGAGTGGAACGCTCGGCGCTGTAGCCGTGCGCCTGGAGCTGGGGGGCCTACTACTGGAGGTGCTGGAGCTGCTGGAGGTGCTGCTGGCGCTGGAGCTACTGGAGGTGCTGCTGGTGCTGGAGCTACTGGAGGTGCTGCTGGTGCTGGAGCTGCTGGAGGTACTGCTGGTGCTGAGGCTGCTGGAGGTGCTGGCAGTGCTGGAGCTACTGGAGGCGCTGCTGGTGCTGGAGCTGCTGGGGCCGTTGGCCCTGGAGGTGCTCGTACTGGAGTTTCTGGAGCTACTGGGACTGGAGCTGCTGCGGGAGTTGGAGCTGGAGGTGCTGGAGCTGCTGGAGCTACTGGTGGTGCTGCGGGAGTTGTAGCTGGAGACCCTGGAGCTGAGGGTTGCTGGTGGTGTCTCTGCTGGTTCTGGAGGTGCTGCGCGGCCGCGGCCGTACTTCGTTCCGCTCCTTCAGCAGGTTCTTGGTCTCCCGCCTGCTCCTGGTCCCACTCCCTCTTTAGAGTGTCCTCTGCCTGTCCAGTCGCAGTCACAGTTACAGCCTGCCTCGCCACTCCCTGGTCCTTCTCCCTTCACTGGTCCGACCGGAGGTCTTACGGAGCGTCGTGAGCCTGAGTCTCGTCCTGCGTCGCCTGAGTCACGTCGTGCGTCGCCTGTTCGTGCTGCTCGCACTGGTCGTCGTGTTCCACGTCAGCGTCCTCCTGCTGTCCCAGGCACACACCAGATGGCGCTTCGTCCTTCCACTGCTCCACAGCGTGTCCCTCTGCCGTCTCCTCCTGCGTCCTCTCTTCCTGCTCTTGCTGACCCGGAGTCTGACTCCCTTCGTGCTCCTAGTCCTACTGTCACGCGTCTCCTGGCCACTGTTGTCACTGACCCTTCCTTTGAGTCCACTGCTGCATCTGCCTTAGTTGCTGAGCTTGTCGACTTTGCTGCTCACTGTCGTCTTGACTACGATGCTAGTCTTGTTGCTGAGTCTGAGTCTGTCTGTCCTCCGTCCGTCGAGGGTGCGTGTGCTCTTAGCACGGACGTCCTTGAGGACAGACAGGAGGAGTTTGAGTGCTTTGCCGCTGCTTTACCTCATCTCGTGTCCATGCTGATTGCCCCTGAGGGAGACCCGGATGCACCAGACATCCCGACCCCGCGCTCTTACGCAGAGGCGATAGAGGGTCCCTACTCCTCTCAGTGGCACTCAGCCATGGACGCAGAGATGGCTTCCTGGAAGTCCACAGGCACCTACGTCGACGAGGTTCCCCCACCTGGGGCGAACATCGTCAGTGGCATGTGGATTTTCAGGGTGAAGCGGCCGCCGGGTTCTCCGCCTGTCTTCAAGGCGCGTTACGTTGCACGAGGCTTCAGTCAGCGTGAGGGAGTTGACTTCCTCCAGATCTTCTCCCCTACCCCGAAGATGACCACTCTTCGGCTTCTGCTGCACGTCGCCGCTCAGCGTGACTACGAGCTTCACTCTCTTGACTTCAGCACTGCTTTCCTACAGGGCAGCCTGCACGACGAGATCTGGCTGCGCCGCCCACCTGGCTTCACTGGGTCGTTTCCTCCTGGCACCCAGTGGAGCCTCCGGCGGCCAGTCTACGGTCTCCGCCAGGCACCCCGTGAGTGGCACGACACACTGAGGACGACTCTTGCTGCTCTTGGCTTTGCTCCTTCTACTGCTGACCCGTCGCTGTTTCTACGCACCGACACCACTCTGCCGCCGTTCTACATTCTCGTGTACGTAGACGACCTGGTCTTTGCTACTGCTGACACTGAGGCACTCGCCCACGTGAAGTCGGAGCTGCAGAAGAGACACACGTGCACAGACCTGGGTGAGCTGACAAGCTATCTTGGCTTGCGGATCACCCGGGACAGAGCACAGCGCACCATTACCTTGACTCAGTCACACATGGTGCAGCAGGTCCTTCAGCGCTTCCGCTTCACGTACTCCTCGCCACAGCCCACTCCTCTGCCTACGCGCCACTCGCTCTCAGCTCTGCCTTCGGATGAGTCCGTAGAGCCGAGTGGCCCGTATCCAGAGCTTGTGGGCTGCCTCATGTACCTGATGACCTGCACTCGACCTGACCTAGCCTACCCTCTTAGCATCCTAGCACGCTATGTTGCTCCTGGCTGACACAGGAAGGAGCACATGGATGCTGCTAAGAGGGTGTTGCGCTACTTGTGCAGTACGTCGGGCATGGGGCTCGTGCTTGGAGGACGGGCTCGAGTTGTTCTCACTTGTCACGCAGACGCTTCTTGGGCTGACGACCTGGCTACTCAGCGGTCGTCACAGGGTTACACCTTCAGCCTTGGTTCCGGCTCTGTTTCGTGGCGGTCTACCCGCTCGTCCTCTGTTCTCAGCTCCAGCTGTGAGGCCGAGATCTACGCAGGGGCCATGGCTGCACAGGAGTTACGCTGGCTCACCTACCTGCTGACCGACCTGGGAGAGCCGCCTCGTTCTCCTCCAGTTCTGTACATAGACAACAAGGCCATGCTGGCCTTGTGTCAGGAGCACAGACTAGAGCACAGAACGAAGCACATTGCTCTTCGCTACTTCCTTGCTCGTGAGCTGCAGCAGCGTGGTCAGCTGCGCCTTGCTTACGTGGCCTCTCAGGCCAACACTGCTGACATCTTTACCAAGGCACTTCAGCCTTGTGATCATCAACGGTTCTGTACCATGTTAGGTCTCGTGCCTACCTTGCCTCACTTGCTTACCTCTTGACTTTGCTTGTACTGTGATCTATATATACCTGCACCTGCATGCTTACCCTTGCTAGGTTGCGATCACTGTCTTGCTTGTTCACCTTGATTTATAATCCTGCATGTGAACTGGCCTTGTGGCCTTTGAACTTGTGCTCGGAATGTGTGGTGACGTTGTGATCCACCCTGAGCTTGCTTTGCTTTGCTTGACTGGTCTTGTGACCCCTTGTTCTCCCCCAGTTTGCCTATGGGGGTGTGTCAGACATATATGACTTAGTCTGTGTAGGCTATAGTGGGGTAGACACTAAGGGGTACAAGTTTCTAGGGTTTCATATTTGTACTCAACACTTTCCTAGTTCATTTCATTCCTCATTTCTTCACAAGCAAAGCTAGCTAGGCCGAGATCGCGGAGTCGCGCGAAGGGGGTGTAGGTTTGGGGTTGGGAAACCCGAAGGCGACGCGGAGGACGTTCGGAAGGCGAGGTCAGCGGACCGAGCCTGAACTCCGAAAAGTTGGACTTGTACGCGTACGGAGTGCCTCAGTAAGGAATTAGGAAAATTCCTTACAGTTTTATTTTGTAATCGGTAACTTTATTCTTTACTGGAAATCTAGACATCGTCGTTATAGATATGAACTAAAAAAATCGAAATTTGGTATATTCCAAATCATAGCTCCGCAACCCTAAGACGATTTAGTCGACTCTTGTTTTATTTCTCATGTTTTTTAGTACTGTCCACTTGTATCGAATCGGACGGTCCCAATAGCAGGTACTGGACAGTCCGTTTTGAAATTTCGAAACGTCAGACCGTCCGAATGCAAAGACGTCACTTTTCTCAACTTCGCAAACTGCCGAAGTACTGTAGACTCGCGAGAGGTACTGTACTATCGTAACCTTGTTCAAACGGGCGTCGCGTACCTCTAGAAAATTGTCTGTGCGACTCGATTGTTTTTTCGCGCGCCAATCTTGTTTCAGCACTGTTCTTCCGTCCGTTTGCATTTCGAACTGCCGAATGTTCACAATGTGAACTGATCCTTGGAGGGGAAAGTGACGCGACAGTTCGAACCGTTGGCGATGTCGCATGTACTTCTGCGAAATTGGTTACAAATTTGTACGAAGCAGGTAACCTTTTCGCAAGCCGGACGGTCCACGGTTTGAACCGTCGAGGGCAAAAAGGAGACACGCCCTTACTGATTGGAAGTTTGAATGGCGAGAGTCACTTCCAACCGTGTGTAATTCTGACGCGCTCCCTATGTGCAGGTGTTGGTGAATGTATAGTCTCGATTGTAGTACAATGACATCTTGTAACAATTGGTTTGCTCTTTCAATATCTTTTACTTATGGTCAGAAGTTCTTATATACAGCCCTGTTTTGAGGCATTTGTCTGATATTGTATACATTTTATTTGTCTGAATTTCATACAACTTGAGCTTACGGCGTCTGATTTTGTTTACATTTTATGATGTCTTATTAGATACATCAGCTAGTATCAAGTAATGTTCTCAAATCGAATCTTTCGCAAACATTGTAAAGTCTGTTTGCGTAAATCACGCCTTGATCGCGTCTGAACTTCAAGTCGCTAAACAGCCATACCACGAGCATAGATCTATGCCCTCAGCACTGAACGGAGAAACCAACGACGAACGCTTAAGCTCATGCGCCAAGGCTAAAACAGTCGCCCAGGGAGGACAAAAAAGGCTTGGCGTCGTCTGCCCACGATGTGTCAGTGTGTCCAGTGAGTTTGACTGGCTGCCGTCCACCAAGCACAAGCCCCATGCGTGATGTGCTCGCTAAGTACCTCATTACTCTCTAAGCAGCCGACCAGTGTTGGAGTGGGTGTCTCCAGTCACAACAAAACAAGCCTATCCTTGCACGGTTTACTCTGCTTAATTGTCTGCCTATCCTTTACCATATTTTTCTACCAGATGCTGCGAATGGCACCAAATCTGTCTAGCATCCTTGCAATATAGTAAATTCCTGAATGATCAAGAGCAACCTTGTTTAAAATGACAAATGACGTCGATACGGCACCGCATGTCGCACAGGCCTATCCTTGTGCAATTTTCCCTGCTCAATTGTTTGAAATACCATATTTTCCTGTGCGATGCCGCGGATAGCACCAAATCTGTCCAGCATCCTTGAAATATAGTAATTGAATGAATGGTC